AATGTTCTCCAGAGAAGAATTTGCCTCATTAACTTTACAGTGGCTTGTTACTTGTGATAGAAATAAGATATACAAAGTAAAGAAAATTAGCATGACTAAGAATAAGAAAACTATTTGTTTTACCATGCAACAATCTGGGAGAAGATGATTTCAAGTTTTGAGCGCTCATTTTCATTAACTGTTTAATACCAATAATTACTAATAGTTTTTCTGAAATGAAAAGGTTTTATAACAAAAATATTACTACAGAATTTTAGTTTTGCAAGCCATGGATCCCCGTTTTTCCCCATGAGGTGTTGCGTTCCGCATTCACAAATTCACCGTTCGCAGAGAGCTGAAGGAGTCTGATCCTCGCGAATACTGAGGCGTTTACTGTGTTCGACGTTAACTGAACCGTTGCCACGGAGGCTGTTAATTGACTGGTGGCTGTTCAAATTTCTGCAGGCTCAGCACTCTTCATTTCCTCTCCAGTCCAGCCCGTGCTGCAGAGCATGGTGGTCCCAGTGTCGGTTGTTGGGCAGAGCACGTCAGGCTCTTTCAGTGTGGCCCACAGTCAGGTAATCTGAACCTAGACTTCAGTATCGCTGCCTTTGCAAACTGACTTCACTTTATTGCCTACCAGTTATGAACAGGTCATTAATGTGAAAGCAGATCTTCAGCTGTTGCTCTCTGTTAATGTCCCCATAGATGCCGTTATCCGTCCGGCCTGCAGTAAACTGCGCATTTAAGGTCAAACTGAAACCTAAACTGGCCCCCAAAGCCAGCACTGACATAGGTAAGTCACAGCACTGGCCTACAGTCGGGGTGCATTGCATACGGATTGATTTGTACCATATTAAGGTATTCTAATGAGAATATCAAGTTGAGAACTGTTTGGTGCATAAACTTGTTTTTTAAATTCAGGGTATTTAATCTGCAATTTTTTCTTTTTAGGTAAATCTGGACCACCTGTGTCAGATCAGGGCACAGATGCCACTGGTTTGCAAAAACAAAAGTAGGTTTATAGAGCTCGGTTTCTGTGACTTTTTGCTTGTTTTTCTTTGAACTGTTCTGCAGTCACATCCCTGCTTTTGCTCTTTTTTTCCTCAGTCCTGTGCCACTGCAGCCGAGGCTCAAGCCAGCTGGGCCTTCCCAGCATGCAGCAGCTACAGAGGTTCCCTCTTCTTCACCTCCTCCAGCGTCGGGATCCAATCCCATGAGCGGGCAGAGCCACAGGAGGGTCCTGTGCTTTGATCTCACAGCACCCGAGCGGTGCCTCGGCACCACACCTGCCCCGGTCCAGACCAGGAGTTCTGGGGACACTTCAGCATCCATGGAAGCACCTGTGGTAGTCACGCCAACAGTGTTCACGGCTGCCTCCTCCTCTGCTGAGCAGCCCAAGACGAAAGGCCCCAGCTGTAAGCCGTGTGACAGCGTTCAGCCTCAAGCCGTCGGGACCGGAGCAGCTGCAGTCAGCAGGGATGGTGCTGCACCGAGGCCCGATGCCACAACGTGCTCGGATAGAGGGAACACCTCGGCTCCCATGAAGGAGTTGGAGAGAAGCAGACCCCCCTTATCCACTGATTCCAGCAAAGGTGCTCCATTGCAGACTGAATCTGAGCACAGGCAGAACCCTCATGGCTCCAGCGGGGACGAAGCTGCAGCGAAGCAAGAGTCCTCCGGGAGGAGTCTGGATTCTAGAAATAAATCTCAGACGTCGGACAACAAAGAGGAACAAGGAGGTACCGAGTCAAAGAGGGATTCTGCCCACAGCGGCAAGGCTGCAGCCGCCGACCCCAGGCTGAAGTCGAACGTTTCGGGGACCAGAAAGGAAGCTGATCAGGGCGCAAGGGGGAGGGAGGGGCTGGCGGAGACGAGGGGCTCCTCGCAGGACACCGCGCACGTTGCAGCCGATAAGGAGAACAAGCTGGAGGGGAGGAATCAGGAGCGGCAGCCAGCCGCTGCTCTGCCGCCAGGTGAGCCCGCTGGGGCTCATGCCTCCCAGCTCAACAGTATCCGACACCCTAACAAGACCAGCCCCCTCACTAAGCAGGCAGCGGAGATGCTGCAGGACATCCAGGGGCACATCCCTACTGCCACGCCCTCCAAGAGCCCCGAGCTGCCTCTCCCCAGGACCCCAGGGTCCGGCCGCCACCCTGAAGAGCCTCTGGACTGCCTGAGGACCCCTGTCCGCCCGCGGCAGGGGCGGGACGGAGACGGCACGCCCCGGCACCTCCC